GGGATGGGGAGGATGCAGGCTGCCCATTGTGGGGCACAGGTCTTCCTGTGCTGCTGCCCCCCCTGCCCAGGGGCCTCTACGACCCAGCAGGCGGGACAGAGAGACTTGGTGACAGTGCTGCCACTGCCAGGAGCCCTATGCTGCCATGACAAGACACTCCCTGCCCCCTGGTAGCAGCAGGCAGGGCACAACTTCATGCCACTGCTGGTCCGGCAGGGGGCACCTCACTATGGTGGCGTGGCTGGCACAGGGCTCCCAGTGGCAGTGGTGGCAGCACCAAGCCTCCCCACTGCACCCCGCCCTCCCACACCGGGTCCCACCCCCTGGCCCACGGATCCCTGGGGGAAAGGAAACAGAGCAGGGAGCCCCAAGCTCTGCACCCTCCCCCACCCTTCACAGGCTCCACTCAGCTTCACTCCGGTTGTGCCACCCAGCAGGGGGTAGAGCCAAGCTGGGTTCCGCACTCTGCTCCAGCCACAGCAGATACTGCCTCCCACGTGGCAGCTGGGGCCCAGGTGCTGCTGGCTGGCTGTGGCTGGTACCCACAGAACAGGGAATAGGCAGGATGGTTCTGTAGCCCTGGCCGCTGGGGGCCCGCTCGGGCAGAGCTGGAGGGAGCACGGGGATGCAGGATCCCTAAAGATCAGGTATGAATTCCAGCTCAAAGGCAACAGTGCTAACTGGGCCAAATAAATACACTAGAGAAAGAAGGTCTCAGTATGGTGCTCCTCTGCACAAACCATTAACTCAAACAGCTACTTCTTATTAAACCCAAACAGAAAATGTTTTCAGTGACCTGATGAAAGGACTCTTTCAAGTCCCAGCAGTCCTTTCAGCTCTCCTTCCCTGACCACTTCAAAAATAATATATTGTACATAGCTGCTTGTACAGAGGTTTTATTTTTTTTTCCAGGACTCAAAACACTAGCTCTCCAGTGCTGAAGACTAATTTATGGATAAGGCAGTCCTTGCACCCATATTTATATGCAAACACACAGTAGCAAACTGGGCATGTTCTTCAAAAGTGGAAAGAGATTCAATGACACCTAGATAATGGAAGGATGCTCACCATTGCCATTGTTGTTCCTCTCGCTTCGGAAGATACAGTGTTCTTCTTTTATGTGAGCCCCGCTTAGCACAATGTCCTGTCGTCGTTCAGCATCCGCCTGGCCAACCCTGAGCCCAACAGAAAGCATTTCAAGGTCAACTCAGAAACTGTCTACAACTGATAAAGAAAATACACCACTGCTGTGTTCAAAGAAATGCTGCACATGATTAAACCAATCCTTTACACTCTAACAGCTGAGGAAATGTAGCCCTCAAAATGGATACTTCCTAAAATACAATACTGAACACTGGCATCTGAACAGTTCGTGAGAACATCATGAACACACTTTTGATTAGGGATAAGTTAAGACTTAAAACTCATGACTTAATTACACATAACATTAAAAAAAAAAAGACAGCTTTGCTGGGCTCAATATCCTGACTGACTTTGGGTGGACGGGACGGGACGGGACGGGGAGTGGAAAAAGCCTTGAAGCACTTTTCTGGTTCACCCTGAAAAGGGAGAGAAAGGCCAACACAGCTTGTTAGCCCTGAAGAACTGGCCCATAAGGGATCATCTCTTGCTAGTACCTCTGCAGAAAACTTGCCACAGAGGGAGAACAAACAAGTGTTAGACTTGGCACGTCAGCCAAAAAATGTTTCATGAAGCTCATAGTTACATGTGAATAAACAAGACAGGAATAACAGAGTCATTAACATCTGGCCCTTCCACTGCAGAGACAGGAACTGCCATACTGGATTAAACAGCAGCCCATTTAGCCCAGCATCCAGGCAACATTATCTGTGCCAAATGACAACATGCTCCAGCTAAGGTGCGAGCAACGTCGTAGCAGGTAGCTGAGTATGAAGTTGCCATCTAACCTCCAAACTTCCAGAGGCTGGCATATCTTGAAGCCTGAGAATTTATTCACGTTAACTCTGGCTACTTGCTATCCCTGTAAATAACAAACAATTCTGCATGCTCAAACTCACAGCTTCCAATTCCTTGTGGCAATGAATTCCAGAGTTGAACTGTCCATTGTGTCAAAGAAGTTATATATGAATCTGTCATTTTTCAATTTCATTTACAGTCCCTTTGCTCTCTTACTATGAAATAGGATGACTAAAATACTCTGATGTTCCTGCTCTACACCATTTGTTCTGCTAAATACTTTTACACTGAGGTTAAAAAAGAAAAAGAAAGAAAAATGAATCTTCATTTTCTTGTACGAGAATGATTAGGGGCACGTAAAGATCTCTCATAGCTCATTTTTTAATTCCCTAGAGCTTTGCTATATGTTTTATAATTAAGTTAGTCCGCAATTGAGCATAACCTCCCAAACTGAAGCGTGATGCTGATTTATAAAATGGCATAGTTTTTATTCCTGCATTATTCTCCATCTGTTCCATGGGGAATATGCCCACTTAACAGCTGAACATTGCTCAATGCTCCAGAGATAGATAAATCCGCCTTTCAGTTGTCCCCCAGCTGTCCTGCCTACAAAGAAAATTCCTTCTAGACTCTAAATATGGCAATTAAGTTTAATCCTGTGTATGCGAACAGGGACCACATTAATTGTATGCAGACATTAGCAGCCAAAAATAACGTAACTGAGTTTAGGGATGTGCTTTCAAAAGAAAGAGATCCACCCACAGAGAGGAAAACAAAAAGAATGGAGGAAACAACTTTCTTTTTAGTTAACAGGATTATTAGAAATACAGTTGGTTTTCCCAAAGAGGGTAGTTTTCAGTGCTCTACCAACATGCCCACTCCCCCTGCCATTTTTGTCTTTTACAGGAAGAGGTTTCTCTTTCTGCTCTCATCAGAAAGACACAAGGGTAAGTATCTGGCAAGGACGCACAAGCATACAGAACGTAAACTAGGAAAACGCATTTCCCTTACCTTTCATTTACAATAAGTGCATGCGCGTGCACATGCCTGCGTTAAGAGTAGTGACAACAGTTTCAGGCAGAAACGTAATTTAAATGGATGATGTCTCCAACCACAGGTCTATTAAGCAAGCATAACAAAGCCACATCTCACCTGGTGATGCCATCTTTGATGTAATAAAGCAGACATTCTGACATGAGTGGATCTTCATTGAGGTTCACAAGATGAGGAGTCTGCCAACAAATGAGAACACATGATCTGAAAGCTAAACACCTGCATCCATGCTTCCTTTTAAAGATTTGCTGGCTGTCAACATGCAGAGGAATCCAAATGCTACACAACTACACATAGCCAGTGAAGCTCCAGGTTCCTCCAGAAACTCTCTTTTCGAGCTGAAATGTCAACCCTTTCAGTGCAGACACAACCATATCAGGATAGGAAAGGAGCACTAGAAAAGTTACAGCAGAAGCACAGCTCAGACAAGCTGATTTTAAGCAGAGGATGTAGGGAAAACAAGCAATTGGTATGAAAAACTAATGATTCCTTGTAAAGCCTTGATTAAGCTTTAATAAGAACAATGAAGGGAACAGAAAAGCTAAACAGCAACGTATTGTCATACAGCCTTGTTATCAAAATGCTACGCTGATGTATGATTTTTATTTAATATAAAAAATACGCATTCCATGTGTGCTGTTTTTCAGAGCCTGTAGATTTGGAAGTAAGCTCTAAACTACTGACATTTCCTGATACACACTGCTACGAATCTCCATCTAATTCTCTTCTAAAAACGTAGTCATTTATATTGCTAAACCAACCTTCTTTGGTGAAAACACCCCATTGGAATCAGCAAACAAGTCGCATGGCCTTGGTGTAAAAATCTAGCCATTGAGATAGCAGCAGATAAACAAAAAAAAAAAAAAGGGGGAGAAACGTGACAGTAAGGAAACAAAAAACCAGAGCAAACATGGGAAATTAACATGCCAGTCTCTGGTAATCCACAACTGGAACATTAAAGCAGGAGATCTATCTGCATGGGCTCCCAAGGGAAAGCTGAATTCAAGCAGTTTACTGTGAGCTCCAAAGGAGCCAATTTGTAACATGTGCACCCACATGCAATTGATGGAAGCTCAAAAGATACTCTTTATGCTTGAGACTTTAAGACAGCTGATGGCTGCAATCTACAGATAAGAAACCTCTCAGAAATTAAAGACTACTGTTTTTTCATGGCTTTTATGTTCTGGCTATGGACTCTGACACTTTTTTAAAGCCATTTCCACGTGGACCTAGTAAAAGCCTAGTAAAATTAAAACTGTTCCCGCCAGTCGTCACAAAGTAAAAGCATTCTTCAGCAAAAACAAGGATTTTAGCTTGGTCCAAACATAAAATGTACAGTGAGCACCAGGTCAAGAAGGAAGTAATGGTTCCTTCCTAGTGTTCCTAGTCCTGATGTCCTTGGAAGTCCAAATACTCAGACAGCCAGGTCATACACGGTACTCAGATCAGGTAAGGTCAATATAGTAATTTGTTTCTGTGTTTCAAAATGTTGGGGAGTTAACTGAACCAGAGACAAGCACGGCAGAAGGTCAGGTTGACATCTGCAAATCCAATTTTGGCTTTCCTTTGTTTGACTGCCAACAATGTCAAAATGGTTAGTAAACGCACATAATTTAATGCAATGCAAATACTTTTAAGAAGTTCTATGGGGAGCCAGTTTGAAAATTTGATTTAAAAGGAGCATAAGATTTCAGGGCCTGGAAACTTGTATTTGAAGAAACAAGAAAACGAAGCAAGGTGAAGGAGGTACCATCATGTTGTTTTGAAGTGATGCCCCTCACCAATCAGTAATGGCATTTCCTCTCTTTGGAGGGAGAAGTCTCATCTTCCATGAGCCAATGAAAAGACAGCTGTAGAATCACGGTGAGTACAGACCCGTAAGCAAAAGCATACCTACAACCACGGTTGAAGATGAGCAATAGAGCACGACCACTGGCTCATCTTACAAGACGACTTTTAGAACTTATATAAAAGGTAGAACCTTTAGCCGTCATTTCCTGAGAAGCCAAAATCCACAAGTACTCAAAATATGACAAGCAGCAGTAAGCAGTTGGACGTGCAGACACGTGCGTCTGTCCCACCAACTACAAATATATTTTTATGCTTCTCTTTGTATACTATATTTTTTACTGCAAGTCTTAATTCCTTCTTATGGGTGACCTTAAAATGAGAACACTCTATAACAAACGAAGCTGAGCAACCTGAAAGATGTTTGGTGGTAACAAAATGGACCCATTCACTCATGCTGAAGTCCCCTGTTCTGTGTGTGAAGATAGGCCTCGTCAGCACTGCAAGCTTCCGCTGCCTAGCGGCCTTCACGCCCGACTTAGAAGGCCCTCCCTCAAGGGTTGAGAGGATAATTCATTGGTTTTGTGATGTCACTACCTTTTCATTCAAGAACTAAACAGAAAAGTAATTTCCTACAGCTTGATTTCTATCCGGCTGGCATGATAGAAATACTGACCTATGCTCACAGGCACTAACACAAAACTAGATTCATACTTGTGCCATAAACATAAAACCCTTACAGCCCAGTTTGCCATCTAGATTTCTAAAACTCTCACAACAAGAGCTGCCAATTACTACAGGAAGGAGAACTATGCACATTAAACTGGAAGGGCAGAAAGGAATGGCTAAGGACAGATCAGGATTTGGTTTCCTCTAGTATGCATTTCCACAGGCAGAACTTGCTATTCACTAACCAAAGCAACTACTGATCCCCAACAACTTCCGCACACAAACCTGGTCAGGAGAAAATGCATCAAAAGAGTCATCAAAAAGAGTTGATGGCCTCTGAGGGAAAATCTACGAGGAAATGCAATCCAAAATGTGAAAGAGAAGCAAGAGAAAAGAAAACTTGAGGAAAGATAACAGTGAGGATAAAGAAGCTTTATGAATCTTAAGAGGGTTTAGGAATAAGTTACAAAAGGCAAAACAAACCAACTGGAAACAAAATATGGCACTTTAGAGACATAAGGAAAAATCAACAGGTATGAGATTCAAGGGTACCACTCAAAAAAATATACAATGTATACTGAAGGCAGAAAGGGGAAGAGTTTCAGACTACTGGTTTCTTTTGTTTGAGATAACAGAGTAATTGGTAGTTGCTACACTCATTGCATTCAAGGTAATTTTAAACCAGATTCCTCCTCTCATGCATGTAGCACAGATTTCCAATGGAGTTATTTCCACCTTTCACAAAAAAGAAGATAGAAGTTTGACATGCAATAGAAGGAACCCTTCCCCCTCCATTTACAACTCTCATCATCAGTGATTATTAGTTCACTACATGACAACCCCTCTTTTTGATAGGAAAAAATAAAAATAGTGGACCTTTAACAAAGATAATAAGGCCACAGAACCTTAGGATTTGAGCTAGTTATAACATCATCCAACCGAGCAGAGATGACTCTGTAAAAAAAAAATAAAATAAAAAAAATATATACAAGCCCAGATGCCACTTCTGAGTCAATGTGCAACACCAGTGGCCCAGTTCACATATCCTGTTACTGGAAGCAGCCACTTTCTAAAGGGACACTACAGCATTCTTACCTATTTTTGGTCATCCAAAGTCTCACGCTGCATTTTTCACATGGCTTGAGTTTCTTCAGTAAATTCAGACTGAATTCATATGACGTTCTGCCTTTCCTAAATAAATGGTGGACTGTGGACACCATCCCTAAGAGCACGATAATACTGTTCCTAGTACTGAGGGACAGCTTTCACATCTCTGTTGGCTGCATTTCATGGTGGGTAAGGTAATACCTGCAGTGGTGTAACTAGGGCAAGGCAACTAGGGCAGCTACCCCAGTACAGTTGTACCAGCAGTGCAGTGGCAGCCAGATGTTACCACTGCCCTTGTATGTGGCAGCTGCCCCAGGCACCAAGCCACATGTTGTTATGCCTCTGAATCCCTGCATATAGCCTGCAAAACACTGAAGTACTTCAAGACTACAACTGGTATCCATTACCTGGGGTCCAGGGACTGCCAGAATTATTCTGTAGCTGACAGAGAAATGAGTCTCACCCAGCTGTCTAGTCTCTTACAGAAGTAAACCAACATTTAACGTCAGTATTCACTACCTTTTTAGGTGAGAAGACTCCCAGTGTTCCTCCATCTTCCCGAATAGCAACTCCCATCTCAGCCAGCAAAGCCTCCCTACAAGGAAACGGAAGCACAAAGTTAGCTATGCTTTGTTAGCTGTACGTGTGTCAATTTGAATTTGGATGCAAATGTTTCAGTATAGTCATCATTGTACAATGTGTTGTAGTACCAGCTAGCTTGCACGTTGGCCCCAGACCTGATGCACTACTGCCACAAGAACGAAATCTTACTTTCAGCTCCAAACCATAGACCTACAGAATTTTCCCACAGGTCTAACATTCCTGTTGACAGCAATAATACACCATGAGAATGATAACCTTTTACAACAGTAATTCCCCCTACCCCAGAAAAAAAGTTAAAATCTGTTCTGAACACAAATTCTCAAGGCAAACCACACATCAAGTTAAAGATTGGCTGTTCTCCTTCCCCCAGAAGTCTCCCTAGATACTCCAAGACAATTAAGATACAAATGATAAATTTCACCAATACAGAAGGGGATTGGCCAACAATTCTTATTTGTAGCCTGTTGCTTCACTGAAGCAAGCTATAATTCCAGCTGCAAATGCAAAGCTGAATTTGGGGGGGAGGTGGGGAAAAGAGTACTGTTATTAACCACACTGGTACCAAAAGCCTCTCTCTTCCCTTTAACCTTCAAGTCAAATTGTGTGCTATAAAGAAAAGACAAAGGGAGAAAAAGAAAAGCCAGAATCAAATGCAGTTTCATATCATAATGAGCACGTTTCAGAGAAGGACTGAACCCCAAGTACTTAAGCCAGCAACTCAAACCTTGGATGGAAACTGTGTCTAAGAAGAAGTATTTTGCTTAACTATTCTAAGCAGTGTCTTGGAAGTATGGAAATGAAACCAATTCCCCTTTCTATGTGGCCCACCTAATGTCAGTGCAATACAAAAGAACAGCAGCCATGTCACCACTGAAGCCAGCTGCTGCTATGCTTTAGCTTTTCAGGCAAGTGCAGCTTCTGTCCAGACTCCTTCCTTCTACCATGTGCCCACCCCATTGCCCACCCCCATGGCATTTCTTTCTCCTGACCTCTCCATTCTAATAGCTTCAGTCTTCCGCAGCTTCTCCTCCCATGTCTCATTCAGCTCTGCAATGATCTTCTCAGATTCCTGTATAGAAGTTCACAATTAACAGACCATACAGGGATTATATGGAACCAACCCTTTATGACAGCATATAGCAAAAAAGCAGAAAAGTTAATGTATATATGTATTTGAGGCCTACATGAGAGCTGAATTAGACCCTAGCAGTAAGTGGCTAAGAGCTAATTTTAACCACTCAACAACACTACAAAATTATGAACAAACTAATAAATCTCCCAGAAACCTAGATGCTTCCTGCAATGACCACCCTGAATCAATTTACAAAAAATCCAGATTCTCTACCTCTGAAATGAACTGTTATTCCCTAGGTTGGACATAATGTCTGGGGCTGGCCAGGGGTTAACTACCAATAGGTAATTGGGCGCCAATTCCATGTCTTCGGGTCATTAGCTTTCAAAAGGCCAAGACATAAATGGGTGCTGTTCAAGTCCCCAGGAAAAAAAGCCACGCTACACAAATAGCCAGGCTAGACAGCGGCTCCTGGTTGCTGACAATTTTTTTTGTTTGTAGAAGACTAGAGATCACAGTAGCTAAAAGGGAAGTCTAGTGGCTAATGCTATAAATCAGTTCATAAATGCACTCTGGAGCCTTCTGGATGAAAGGTGCTGTATCAAGATAAGTCATTAGGACACTCATTATTCCCTCTAGCATATTCTTGGAGCTATATTTAAATAACATGAGCGCCAAAGATAAACAACAGGTTTTGTGGTTAAGAATGCCACATACCCAACACCAGCTGCATTGCAATGCACAAAAGGCCAAGTCAAATTCCTTAAGTATCCTATGCAAACCACACAGCTTGGTATGTAATTGCAGCACTTGGGAAGTGGCTATTTTCATAGAATGATAGAAATCATAGAAAATTAGGGTTGGAAGAAACCTCGGGAGGTCATCTAGTCCAACCCCCTGCTCCAAGTAGGACCATCCGCAACTAGATCATTCCAGCCAGGGCTTTATCAAGCCAAGCTTTAAAAAACTACGAGGATGGAGATTCTACCACCTCTCTAGGTAATACATTCCAGCGCTTCACCACCCTCCTAGTGAGAAGGTTTTTCCTAATATCCAACCTAAGCCTCCCTTGCTACAACATGAGGCCATTCTGCCTTGGAAGTTTACTCTAAATCCTCAGCCAGATGGATATTTAAGTCCTTAATTGTAAGGCCTTTGCATACACCCACTCAGTATAACTGCTCTCAAGGGCAAGAGGGCACAAATGAGCAAAGAGCATATTTTATATTAGTTTTGAACAACTGTTTGCAGGAGCTGCTACTAACTATTTACCAGAAGTAGCTTTATAGCAAGCTGTACCCAACCACATTGTGTTCGGCTCACTGCCCAGCAAAAGTCACTGATGTGGAGGGAGGGGAGAAAATTAGGAATCTTATTAGTCTTTCCAGTCCCATTTGTTATCAATCTCCTTGCTCCTCTAGCAACATAATCCCTCAGGAATGCAGCTCCCCGTCTCCATGCACACGCACACACAAATACCCCAATCATTATGGAATTGTTAGAGAATCTGTCTGAAAGCTCCTGCACAGGAGACTGAAAATGAATCTAAAAAGGAGCATTAAAAATAAAGAGGCCTGGCCAAGGGGGATTCCTGCCATTCAAAAGAGCAAGTTAAGGAGCTTACACTCCACTGCTGCATTAAAGCATACAGGGATGAACATTAAAAAAAAAAATTCAGAGATTTTTTTTTCTTCTGTTGAATGACAATGAGGGAAGGGAAGAAGAACTACACTTATTTCACCAACATCTGCATTAAAAAAAAACCATATTTTAAAGTCAGAAAGCTTTCTCTAAAGGACTTGGAGTATTTGTTCAGATCAAAGGCTTACCACGGTATATAGCAAAGCCAATGGTTGAAGCAATCCTTGCCTTCCAACAGCATTAAAGCCCATTTAGACAACAAAATTTGCACACTGTTGAGACTTGGTACAAGGGTGGCAAGGAAATTAAAAGTGAATTCCCTCACCCCATAAGCTACTTATCACTTCCTAATCCATCTTCCAGGCCCCAGCTCCACTCCAAGCCTAAGACTAGGAAGCACAGGGAGTTTACAACCCCGAACCCAGGCCCTTCTACCCAAAGCAGTGGGCCACGGTCCTCTCATGTAAAGTTTAAGCTAAAGCTCCTGCAATAGTGGGCAGTACCCTGGCAAAAATCCAAGAACTTCAGTTCAGAGACTGTGTCGAGGCTGAATGGAGGCTCAATCCTCCTTTCTGGTGCTGAGGATTAAACAGAATATTAGTAGCTCTCCACAACAATCAGCATGATTCAGTGTGGCACATACCACCACTGTAAAAGGGATTCCACACCATTTCACAGCCTCATGCCAAGAGCTACTCTAGCAGCTTTCTCTCAAGCAAGATTTTCACAGGGGCTTTTTTCAACTGTTGCCTTCACCCAGCTGTAGCACACGAGGCCATTTCTTTTCTCTGAAGAGAGACACAGGGATATATTTCTTACTTGCTCCACTCTGTTGTTCTGAATTGACACACACAGCTATTTCTCTACTCGCCCGAGCAGCCTGAGGATGCGTCAGACCTGATCCTTCTCAAAAAGCTAGCAGCCAGGTTACCCATTGGAAAGCTCAAGTAAAAGCACCAGCATGCTCAATTCTACGCATCTCTGGCTACTTTGAGTTCCAAAAACATTCTATACTTTGAGTATCTAAGATGTCAAAGTGCACTGCCCTTCTCAACAGTGTTTCACAAGAAGCTGTTTTGAATATTGATGGAAAAAGTAGAAAACGCTCTTCCCGGTAGGCTCTGATTTTGATTTGGACCACCTTAAGAGATTTTTCTTTTTCAATCTAGTTTACAGACGTCATTCAGTGTCTTGATGTCAGGGGACTACAGAGACAGCACCATTATCTCCATGGCAACAGCAGGTTTCTAATAGAAGGAGGATATGCCGTGTGTGTTCCAGACCATTCAAATCCTCCTGGCAGCATCTCATGGAGAAATCACGAAAACAAACCACTGGGATTTAACATATCTAACTCCCCCCGCACACCCATCAGTGTGGGAGGGGGTTGACAAAAAAAAAGAAAAGAAAAGAAACCCTTTGCTGGAATGCATTTTTAATGCTGGTCAATTCTATGCAGATTTAGGACAAGGCTCCCATTGTCTGGCTACAGCAGGCTTTTCTGTATGCTTCACATTCTAATCCGTGGGGGTAGGGCAAAGACAACAGTGCCAGGATTGTACTTCTCCTTTAGGCTTAGATAAACTTGGGTTTTTTAAAAAATGACTGCACTGGCAAGTCAGGCCTAGTACAGGGAGATGCTGAACAAACCTCTTGAAGCTCCTCCACACAAACAGCTACCTCCCAACCCCCAGGTGCTCTACTCACCTTACTCATTATCCTCATTATATGAGACTGTCAGTAGATGCACGTACTTGGATTCAAGTTTGCTATTGCCAATTTTTGTTACAGCTGAAGACACTCTCATGCAGATTTTTGTGAATGAATAGTTCAGACATGGAGACAAATCCCTAGCTCATCCCACCCTGGTGAACTCTTTGGAGTGCAAGAGAGCTTCTGTGTTAACCTCCAGAAATAGAAAAGGCATTGGCTATTAGGGCTGTGCGGAACAGCTACATTTCATTTCTATTTTGGATTCAGTCATTTCAGAGGGGCAGCGATTTGTTTTGGCGTTTCAGATCACTGTTCCGTTTCAGTTCAGCCAAATCTGTTTTAGAGTTTCAACACTGTTTCGGAGCCGATTTGGAGATTCAGCCGGGAAGAGGCAGGTACAGCCAAGCAGCTGCAGGTTCTCCCACGGCTCCTCCGGCTGTGCCTACCTCCCCCGTGGCTCCTGCAGCTCCCCACACTGGGACAGAGGCAGACATAGCTGGAGGAGAAGCCCCATGGCTGCCCTGCCCGGGCCCATCTCCCTCCCAGCACTTTAAAAGGAGGGCTGCAGGGCTGCCAGACTCTCCCCGGGCATGGGCCCCAGGATGTGTGCAAAGGATGACAGCAGGCTGCCATCCCTCCCCCAGAGCACTGGGATTGGAAGGGACCTCAGGGGCAGATCACAGACATGGCAAGCTACAGATATCAATATCAGAGCAGTCCTTCCTGCCCCACTTCTAAGTTTCTGTTTCCCCGCAAGCCCGCCTCTAAAACTTTCCGAAGCATTTCCAAAACATTTTGGACGGTTTGGTTTGGTTTGGTTTCGTAGCCTTCCGTTTAAGTTTTGGATTCAGTGTTCCGGGCACCAAAATGGGCTGAAATGCCTCTAAAAACAAAACGGCTGCTGAAATTTCGCACAACCCTATTGGCTATGTTCTCCTAAGGAGATTCCTTCCAAATATGCAGCTTTCAAGCCCGCCAAAATTATATCCAGCTGAGTGCACAGTAACATGTACCTTCAAACGTTCAATGGCTTCTTCTCCTCCAGGTGTAGACATGATCCTCTCCTGTATACTGGACACAGATGTTAAGCCCACCTGACTATTGAGAGAGCAGGAAGATGGAGATGCTGTGAGGGACCCCATGGAGGCTGTGGAAAAATTGCCAGGGCGTTGATTCTCGGAGGCAAGCAAGTATCTATGTTTATTGTTCTGAAAATCTTTCAGATCTGGGAGAGACAGACAGACGGGAAGGCAGAAAAACAGGAAAACAGGAAAAGAGGGGAAGAGGGAAGGAGCAGAGAAATGGAAAACAGGAAGGAAACACCAGTGTAAGAGGAAAGCACTTAAGCAGCAACACAGACAAATACAATAGTTTTAGATGGCAGTTCTGAAACAAATCCTTTAAAGCAAATACCACTAAGCTAACAGCAGCTCAGTTCAGACCCTGAGAATTACAAATAAAGGGACCCAGCACACACCACTGAGATCAGTAAACTCTTGCCAAAATAAAGTAAAAACATTCACACCAGGACACTGTGTAAATTATAAGAAGCCCCCTCCTGGCTTCCACAGCTATATGCTGATCTGTTTCTATAGTCCCATCGGTATCCAACAACTGGGCAACGGCACAGCGGTGAACAATATGGGGGCTGAAAGCTGGGAACAGAGGTGACCGCCAATCAGGAAATAAACTATTCTCCCTTGTAGACTCCTCAAGACTAACAGGAATATAAATAAGTATGGGCTAAATCTTACAATCCGAAGAAGGTGTGCCTCTGCACAGCAGAATTAGGAGGTGAACCCAACTGCTGCCAGGTTCCACCAAGGGCAAAGGTTCTATTAGCCACCTCCCCAGTCTTTGACAGTACGAGTGAACACCGCACGAGCTCACATTTATATCGCAGTCTTTCACACCCTACACTAGTGCTGAGGAAGAGGACCAAAGTATGCACACAGGCCACGTTTGTGCTAGGAGTTGTTTGCACATGAGGTTAAATTCTAAGCCTTTTGATCATAACGGCTTGAAAAAAGCAGAGGAAAGGATTTCAAGGGAGACCTAGAATTTCAGGCTAACACTGGAGTATAAATGCAAGAGGCCTGGAGACAGCTCCTGCAGAGCTGGCAAGTACAGGTTTAGCCATGGGACTTTTCTATTCAAGTTATTCAGAGGTAACTACTCTGATCAGAACCCAGGCCAATCCTCAAATAAAACTATCATTAAAATTGCCCACTTATAAAGCTTAGACAAGTAAGCCCAGATGCTCGGGCCATTCTCCACAAGTCCTCACCCCCACCAATGCCTTTTTTCCTCCAACCCTGAACAATCTTTCTGTCTTAAACCTTTCACTCTATTTCTTTCCACCTCTCATCACAGCAAACAAAGAAAACTAATAGTAACTCTTAAGTCAGTTTGAAAACCACCATCTGCAAATATAAGCAGCAGGGGTGGAGGCAATAATACGTAGAGGAGGTTAAGGACGGGGACAAGCCACCAGGATAAGGCAAATAAGCAGGACAGAACAGGGAAGATGCAATCTTGAAAGGCCAGTAGGCACATGCACTCTTAGGGAAGAGGAAACAGCACTGGCAATCGCTTCGCTTTGGCAGCTGCTCTGTCCGTACAACACCTAACCCTCAGTATCATGCACGCTTCTTTCAGAGGTCTGCAGTTGCTCCAAACAGATAAGAGTTAGGCACAAGCTGGAAGCAGCACCAAAACGTCATAGCAAGACCAGGCTGAGTCTTTACACCACCAGTAACTGCACTTGGGAAATTTCAGACAGATCTTTTCCAGCCAGTATTGTTTTGGGGTGAGAATGGGCAAAGTGGGATGAAAAGAGCTCAATTACAAAAAAAGGAAACTTGAGACTTGACCAAAAATCTACAGAGAATCCACCTGTTTAAAGAAGCAAAACATTTCGTTGAAGGTGGGTTATATAGAAGGAAGATCTACGATTTTTATGAAACAAGAGAACGTACGGCAAAGTCAAAAATAAAATACTGTCTTGCCAAAGGTTCTCTCTGAACCTGCAATTTAAATCTTCCTCAGTTTTTTCACGTTAAGAGCTGTTCCTTCAGAGGAAAACAAGTCTCTGTTCTACACAGCAGCTGTACTAATACCCAGCAGGAGTAAGAGCTCAAATAAAGTGAGAAGGCACCCAGCACTGCATAAGCACAGAAATGATCAAACTCATTCTACAGGAGGAAACTTTCACTTTTTTTTTTTAGCTTAACCAATTGTCGAATTCAAAATTAGAAAAACATTTTTGAGGTCCAGAAAACAAATTATGGGAGCAGCTGTTCATGGCAATGGAAACCTGTTTGCATTTAATAACTTGCAAGTGATTTGCCAAAGAAAAAAAAAGTTAGTAGGTCAAGTCTGAACCATTAGTGGTAACAAAAAACAGCCTTTACAATTACTATCCTCTGAATCTCCTCCACAGCAAGTAGCAGATACATTAAAGAATGGTTGCAACTTTGCATTTCTGAAGAGCAGTTCAAAAGCAGAGATGGACGTTGTCTTAATATCCATTAAACTACATTACTGTTGGCAGTACATGCTCTGTCTGGGATTTCCCCATGAGGAATGCTGGCATGCAAAGCTCAGCTAAAAGCTGACCCAGCAGAAGCACAGTGGCAAGTTAGAGAGCTAGAGAACCACACAATACACACATTTGCCTCCACTTCCAGAGTAATCATCTCCCATTGGATCAACTAAAGGGAAGCAGGAGGGAAAATACAAGAAGGATCAAAGTTCAGGTTCAACAGTGACATAGGAAGGGAAGTGAATAGTAACTGACACTTGAAAAAACAAAGACAATTTTCAATTACACATCAAAATAAATTTCCTGGCTTGGCTTGACCCAAACCCAAGACTGCATAAAATGTGAAAAATTCTGAATTTAAGCTAAGTCTTCTTCTTGATCCATTCTCTTGGAAATGAAGGAAGACAAAAGATACGTGCACAGAACACACTTACTTCTTCATGCTGTCCATAATTACACCACGACTTTTCCTTTACAAGAAAAATAAGTACCCACAACACAGATTTTTTTTTTAAGAAACATTTCAACAGATTTTTTCATAATGAACAAGTGGTAAGCTGGTTCAATTGCCAGAAATAATTGAAGTCATCATCTGAAAGGCATCTCCTCTGTCAGAAATTAAGTCACAGCCTAGGTTCCTCAAAGAATTTAGCGTAAAAGCTTTTTTCACTTGTTTGCTAAATTTGAGGCAAGGGTCAGGAAAATCAGTTAAGTCAAAAAAAGTCTCTTCAGAGACTATTCTATACTGTATTTTGACAAAGGCAGTTAGACAAGACATTGTGCAAGTTCCTACTATGTAGGTCTGGCAGTGCACCTCAAAACTTTTGCTCTATAACAGCATATTATTTCAGTCAGAGGCAGCTAATTGTAGAAAGCAGTCAAATATTTTTGACATTCAAGGACTTGTACCAGGGATTAGGCATAATTTTCTGTTCTGATGAACACCATTTGAAGCCAAGTGAGGGCTGACAAGATGATGTTCTTTGAGGGGACTGGAAAGGTGGCCTCTGTCCCTGTTGCGAAGTTATTTTTCATGTCATGCTATCACCCCTTTGAGATGGAAAGCCCTCCAAAGTGACCCAGCAAGACCGCTCCTTAATCAAAAGGGTCCTGACCAGGGACCAATGCAAAGGGATCATGACATCATGGCAACATACCCAGGATTTCCTTTGCAAGCAAGACACAATAGAGCAGAGTTTGAATCCAATGTGTCAACCTCAAAGAAAAGGAAAGACAAGCTCTGCAACAGACTATTTGAAAAAGAGGAGAGACCCCACCATTTCCAAAGCAAAGTACCTGTTAGTACTTGTTTACCTGTGACCAAACTCTCTTCTGCAATTCCGTGGCCTTAGACAAGTAATTCATTTCCACAGTAGGTCACAGCGCCCAGATTACAAGGTGGAGACAGACATGTTTAATCCACTTACTATCAATAATATCTCCCAGCCCTTGGGCCCGCAGGAGATCTTTGAGCCGTGTCACCTCTTCCTTCAGCTCACGCACCAGCTTGGCATTGGGGTCTTCATTGATAACAGCATTGCATTTGATCTGCTTGGCACGATCCGCATATCTAGAACCAGCCAGAGAAAACTATTAGTTTCTTTTACAGGGAGACACTTACATGCACCAATGCAAAATGGGAAATATCTGACTATGTAGAAATACAAAGGAAAGGCATCTCTCTGTCAAACTTTTAATGAATCCATGTGATGCTACTGAAAAAATAAAGGCATATCCTCTTTCTAGGATGGATTTGCAGAAACATCATACATATGATACAGAAGATGTATATTTCCTTCTCCTCAACATTAATGAGGCCTCAGCTGCAATATGGTGTTCATTTGTAGGCCACACACACACACACAAATTAACTGCAGGGAGTCCAGAGGAGAGCAAACAACAATAGGAATGTCATGGTTTCGTGACCATTATAAAGAGTTGAAGGAATTAGGTTTATTTACTCTGGAAAACAAAAGTGGAAGGTAGGAGCACATTAAATTGTCCAATATGTAAGAGGTTGCCAAAGTGTACCCTAGCGAAGTGCTAGTCTTGACCCTGAGGGATGGTGTGCATGTATAAAACAGTAAGAAATCTGCAGCAAAGGGAAAAAAAACTTGGTTAAAGTAATGAAACATTAGAACAGGCTATGTACACCAAGAGACTGTGGAGTCTTCTTAAGTGGAGATCTCTGAAGATAAGTTAGACTAAAATTTGTTGGGGAAAGTTTAGGTAGTAGGTACACGTGATCCTGCCTCAGTGCAGGTGCTGGATTAGAAGATCCCTTGAGATCTCTCCAGCCTTACAAATATACAACAGCTCTCTACATTGCCACCCACTATCTCAGACTAATGAAAGGATTAAATTAGCTCAAACCTAGAAGTGCTATGTAATACAGAGCTGGAGGCAAACTGTCAGACACTGAGCTCCAACTACTGTTTTACCTTTCAGGGGTTTTCACAAAGTTCCATGCACTCAGCATCTTTGAAAAAAATCAAGCCCTAGAGGTCAGTGACGTCATTTTTAACCCGTCTTTCCCCATGGGTAAAATTATTTCCTTTATGCATTTTTCGGCAAATGTTTTCACGAAAATCCAGTAAATCTAATCTGGCCAATTCAAAGCATAACCAACAACTGCCTCTCCCCTGGTTCAATTTTTAATTTACCTGGGTTTTGACCGTACATGGCCTGTACCCAGCAAATACTCTCAGTGCAATGGTACAAAGGACAGGAACCTGAATTTTAGAGCCGCAATTTAATAAATTTCCTACCAGATTAGAGAGTAGTACCTTAAAGTGCTCAAAGTTTCATCATAGTTGATGTCTGCTGGACTCAGAGCAGCGACCATGGCCGTTCTAGAGTTCCCACCTGTAACACACAGTGTTCTAAATGAAACTGCATTACATGTTATGGACAGTGGTCATTTTACTGAAGGTCAGTGTTTCCCAGCTTAAAGCATGCCATTACTAAACATTCAACAACGTTGCACAAAGCAAAGTAACAGATAAAGGTCACCTTCTGACACCAGAAGTGGTTTAAATAAAAAAAGGCTCCAACATGGCTGCTAAACTTAGCTATTTCCAAATGTAATGTCAATGTAATACTTCAACTGAAAAAAGAAAATTGCAAAGAATCAAGAAAAATGGAGTGAACTGTACATATTATCGCAGTTAAGTTAGCCATACCTAGATTTTCCCGAAGAAGCCACGTCAGCACAGAATCTCTGTATGGAATAAAGTCTGTTTTCTTCTTCTTTTTGCTCTGAAAAGAAGAGCATGCAAGTGAAGTAGTCACTGAGGAAGGGAAAAAGAAAGAAAGAAAGAAAAACACAAACAGGGTAGAAAGCTTTCCCTAACCCCCACGAAATCTTATTTAAAAATGGAGTTAGATACTGTCCTCTTCCAGGGGATAGAAAAAAAAAACATTTTGCTGCATTCTGCGTAGAAGGTTCAATACAATGAAAACCAGGTTAGAAAAAGTAGTAGCAAGAGATATGTTCAAGTTCCCACAAGTTGCAAGCCCCCTGGTCAGAGCAAGAATCTAGTGATTGTGAAGAAACTCTGGACCCATCAATTTCCATGTCTGGCAGCAGTTCAAGCAAACTGAGCAAGGGACTATGCACACAAAAGAATCACCGCACAAATCCAAAGGGAGGATTATGAAGGTGGCAGATGACAGCACTGGTAAAAATAGGCACAATAAAGAAAGCCAGATACTGACTGGTGGAAAAGATATTGAAAAAAGCTATGCAGATAAAGGATCATCAGGGTTAAGAAAGAAAGGGGAAAAGTGAGAGTAAGACAGAGGAGGTTAAGAAAGGAAATGAAAATAGAAGATGGGAAATGTTATAAGCTGAAGATAAAGGATCAGAATTTTACTCTGCCAACAGGAAGACAGACAGACCAGGCAAAAACTGCAAGAGTTCACCTCCTTTCTTTCTCCTCTCTTGATTTTCTTCCCTACTTCTCCTCTCATTTCATTCCCACTATATAAATAGCACCAGAAAGCTGGTATAAATTGGTTTTGAATGGTTTTATCCTTCTCCCCACAGTGGATGGGAGGGCCTGCACAACAACATTTTTTCATGTCTTTTTTTTATATTTAGCTTTAAATACAATGAAACAAAATAGTAAGTAGAAATTTAAAGTCTAATAGTTTTTCTGCTGAAGTAAGGCTTAGCTGGGGCCTTTCCCCCCCTCTAGTAAATTGACTGCAGAAATTTGCTGAGATTGGCCCGGTTTTTAAACGTAATCTCTGAAAGGTGTTTCTTGTATACAGAATAACCTTTCTTCAGACAAGCACTTTGATCAAGTCAAGTGGCCTTGTTAATATCCTCTACATTCCCACTGCGTACCTGTCAAGTAACCTTAAAATGGGAACCAATAGTGTATTTATCAATACTCGTGGAGTGGTGGCTGCAGTGGCAGTTAACACAGATGGGGAAATTAGCTTCCTTTCCAAGTACAGGTTGTTTGGAGTTTTTATGGTTCAAGTCAGCCACGTTCCCAAATAGGAGGGGAAGATTCTTTCACTCCCTATAGCTTCTGTGTGAAAGACATGAGGACAGGGAAGAGGTTGGAACAGGACAGAACGGCTTAGCCAGAAAGATTTTTCCTTTTTTAAGCTAACCTTGTAACCGGCTGCTGATTAAAGGATTTGGGGACTATTCAGACAAAAGCACAAGGTCACACAGCAGTCAAATGCACAAGTCTCAAAGCACCCAATCCATTGATTAGCCCAATGATGGGTAAAGAATTTTCAGAAAGGTTGTATGAGTGGTTCCAAAGAATCACAGAAAATGAGGGTTGTAAGGGACCTCAAGGTCATCTAGTCCAACCCCCTGCTCAAAGCAGGACCATACCCAATTTCTTTGTAGGCAGGTTAGACTTGCACCTCCACATCCCACTGTAAATATTTTCTATTCCTCATTACCTGTGGCACACCTCAACCTATTTTGACCCAAGGTAAGCACTAAGGAATTACCTAGGAAAGCTCTCTAGAGGGTAGGGCTGTTTTGTCATTTACTGACATGCAGACAAAATTAGTAGACATGCACAATGCTTCAAATGCTGCCAAAAATTAAATTCCACACAACACAATTAAAATAGGATTTGACTATGTAGTAGAAGCTTTGATGACAAATTATGTAGGTTGTGAATACCAACCTTATAAAGAAAATTCTACTACCCTCTTGTCTATGGCAAGTAACCTTTAGATTGACAAGTGAAAGAAGGGTGAGGCAAGGGCTGCACACAGCATTTGTGTGTAATTTTGGTCAGGCTAGACTAGACCGCAGCTTGTGAGACAAAATGAAAGACCATGGGAGGTCAGGTGCAGGAAAACAAAGACATTAAGTTATTCCTACTAATTCTAACTATTCCTAAGAAAAGTCACCAACAAACCAGGAGCAGGGATGCATACAATAAAACTATTAGATATTCTTTACACCTGCATTTTTCTCTGTCCTCCTTCCCCCACACCCAAGGTATTTTAATTTTGAGTTCTGATGCTGATGTTACTCCTCATCCCATGATTATTTTGTAATTTCATTAAAGACAGTCTATGATGCAAAAATAAAATTGTCATGAAAGGCCTTGAGATCCCTGCTCTTTGTCCTTCCAAGTGAACAACACTGGTCTTTTACAGTGAATCTAAGATTTAATATCAATGGCTACTTTGGCCCACCATACCTTGCTGGTGCAGTTATCCTAAAGTTGAAAGCATTACAGAAAGAGGAAGAAAGAACACAAGTTGAGCTTCTTAACAAGACATAACAGATCATTTTAATTGTCACCTTGGAGAACGTGCAACAAATACTGCTTTTCTGAGGAATCAAATGAGTGACAATAGTCTACCAAACAGCAATGAAAGGAATTATAAAGTCCTGCTATCTATTCAAACTGCTCCACAGGCTGAATTTCCTATATAACTGAAGTCAACAGCAGCATGCAACTGCAATGGCAGAGAAGGAAATGGAAAGTATTCTTAGATGGGCCTGGCCTAGAGTGCACTTGGATTACTGGATTCTTAACTGAATTTTAGACAAGACAGTCTCAGCTTTGGTCAGTGGGCTATTCTGCTGTAAATGGTTCTATGGGACCCCATCATTCAAGTCAAGTAAATCTCTAATTCAGTGGTTTTCAACCTGCAATCCACAGACCCATGGGGGTTTGCAGACTATGTTTAACGGGTCTGCGAAAGATGACTATGATCAAACAAAAGTACGTGAATACCCACACTGACAATTCAAGGGGTCCACACTAGAGGCGCACCAATACATCGGTCCAATATCAGATCAGTACCAAGAAAATTTGCTGCATCTGATATTGGCCCGATGGGGCCGATAACTTGACCGATAAATGCCCGTGCTGCAAGCAGCCGCAG